CTTGAAGCAACAGAAACAAAGAAAAAGAGTACTGAACTGTTATGTAATATCAGTCCTCCTATATGGCAATGAATGCTGGACAATCTCCTCCCAGATGAAGAAGAGACTTGAAGCAAGAGAAACAAAGAAAAGAGTACTGAACTGTTATGTAATATCAGTCCTCCTATATGGCAATGAATACTGGACAATCTCCTCACAGATGAAGAAGAGACTTGAAGCAACAGAAACAAAGAAAAGAGTACTGAACTGTTATGTAATATCAGTCATCCTATATGGCAGTGAATGCTGGACAATCTCCTCACAGATGAAGAAGAAAAACTTGAAACAAAGACAATATGAACTGTTATGCTCTCATCCCTATATGGCAGAATGCTGGACAATGCTCCTCACAAAGAAAGAAACTTGAAGCGACAATATGTGGCTCTACAAACATTTGAGAATTCCACAACGAACATTTGGCTTAGGAAAAATAAAATCAAAAAGGATACCTAGAATCAGAAAACGAGACACTTAAAATATTTATGACACCTAATGAGGACGAAGGACTTAGAGAATTAAACACTCATAGGACAGACTGAAGGGCAGACAGACAGAGGAAAGCAATACATAACTTACCTGGAGTGGTTGAGTGAATGGATGGCGGAACAGGGTTTGGAAGAGAGAAAGCAACGAATAATCTACCTAACGACTTTTGTAAATGGTTGGCAGAATAGGGATTAGTAGGTAGAGCTAAAACACTAACCTTATTAAGTGTTACCAAGGATAATAAGAAGTTGTGGAAAGTTATGATCACCTACGGTCCGAAGAGACACGACACATAATAAAATAAGAATGTTATATTCGAAATTATGTTTTCTTCTTCGCATACAATAATTATGCTTGTTTATGTTACTGTAAACATAAAGATCATACGAGAAATGTTTTCAAAAAATAAATGTGTAAAATAAAATCTTTACTCATCCCGAGACACTATAGAGAGATATGATCGCCAATGTCCTGAAGAGACACACCACATAGAAGAAGAAGAAGAAGAAGAAGAAGAAGAAGAAGAAGAAGAAGAAGAAGAAAAAAAAAAAAAAAGAAGAAGCTTTTATAAATGGTTGGCAAATGAAAAAAGGATCGCGAAAAAAAAAACAAGCTTACTAAGAGCTAAAAATACTGGAAATTGTGGAGAGCCATGATCTTCAAGAGACATGGCATATAGAAGAAGAAGAAGAAGAAGAAGAAGAAGAAGAAGGAGAAGAAGAAGAAATAATAATAATAATAATAATAATAATAATAATAATAATAATAATAAGAAGAAGAAGAAGAAGAAGAAGAAGAAGAAGAAGAAGAAGAAGAATGAGCTTAAGTAAATGGTTGTCAGAACAATGTTTAGAAGAGATAACAAAAAGACAAAATTTGGGCTGCAAAGGACAGGAACTTGTGGAGAGTCATGATCTCCAATGCCTCGAGGATACACGACATATAGAAGAAGAATAAGCCTGATTAAATGGATGGCGGAAAAAGGTATGATAATAAATAATAAGTATTATGGAAGAGACTATTAGATTATAGTTGTGTCATATTGGGTTGGAATAAAAGTACGTACTATTTATCAGTAGGCAATATTCTAAAACACGATTTCCTTTCACGTGACTTTCATACCTGACTAAGTTTATGATATATATATATATATATATACATATATACACAACAAATAAATCCAAAATTTCCTCGTGGGTATAGCCTATTTCAACCGACGCCGTGTACGTCAGTCTTATTCAACCCAGACGGATGGACTGTATTCGTGTCGAAACTAGAGATTTAAAATTTAAAATCTAGCAAAAACACCACTTAAAAAATTGATACATAGGCTACCCATATTGACGCCTCAGCAGGACAGACTCCCCGGCTCAGTGGTAAGAGGAGGGCGAAGTTATCTGACTCAAAAGGAAAGAGTCACCACAAATTCAACCCAGATATTAACCTTAAGACCATAAATAAGAAAGATGAGGCGTTAAAATGAAACTAAAGGAAGTCCAAAAAAGAGAGTTTAAAAAATAAATATTTAATTAATTGTTCCGACTAAAAATACCAAAATAAGCTTATAAGTAAGATGTTTAACAAGATTAAGAATAAATCGTATTTAGATAGTTTATATTAAGAAAGAATATATAATTTTTTGTTATTATTAAGGGATAAAACTAAAACTAATTTAAAGATAAATATATTATCCATTAAAATATTAAAGATAAGTTAAATTATTAAGAAAACAAATCGTATCCAGTAATATATAAGGAAACCAAAAAATACATTTTAAAAATATGGATAAAGAATTGTAAGTAATCTAAGGAAAGGGAGTTCTTAAAGCGATGGATATTTATAAGATATGATTGCTATGGAGAAGACAAAATATAGAAACAACTATAATAATATGTTTAACTTTAGAAGGGTTAGATAATTAAAAACAAATAAAGTAAGATCAATATGATAGAAGTTTAAACCTATGTCTATGTCGACATTTTAAAACTAATTCATTCCTTTGATTTAATAGTTTGCTTTGATTATTGAATTTTATTATTCTAATTTTCTCTTTTAAACATAGATCGTACCTATTCCTAAGGCTATTAGGAGCATGAGCGAAACCTATAATTCTCCAGTTTATCTGAATATGAAGATCTTTCATTTGCATAAAGATCAAAACTCTGTACAAACAGAAAAAAGGTATGTGCGGTTAATGGAGATGGTGCCATGACCGGGAATATGAGGTAGCTAGGTTCATAAATGAAAAAATTGATCTGGAAGCCAGAGAATATTCAACCAAACCCGCAATCGTAGATTGACAAAATGGAAACACTGATTAAAACTAATCCATACCATACGATATGGGATATCACGGAGAGACTACACATATCTAATATCTAGGAATTTGTAACAATTTGATATATGAATCGATACGGTTTTTGGATGCTTCACAGGTTAGCAGAAGTAATTAATAATTAATTTTTAATAAAATAATTTTTAAAAGTATTTGTTTAATTAACTTATTTGTTTTTACGGTTTATCAGCCCTTTGCGAGTTATCAGAAAAACGTGGAGTGGGGCGAGTGAATTTTTATTCATATAAACAGATGTATATACATTGCAATAGATGTATATACATTGAAAAATAGTAAATTGCAACTATTCAATTTGTAAAGATTATTGTTAATAAATATTATTCATATATATATATATATATATATATATATATATATACATGCACACACACAGAGATATATATATATATATATATATATTTACGCATCAAAAATTCAGACAAACGTTTTATTAAGTTCAGTTAACAATGTCTGTCTTTTTCAAAATTTTTAATCAAATTGACATTTTTTCCAATTTATGATTAAGTTGACTTTTTTTTTTAAATTTTTGATTAAGTTGACATTTTTTTTACAATTTATGACTAAGTTGTCATTTTTTTTTTAAATTTTGATTAAGTTGACATTTTTTTTACAATTTATGACTAAGTTGTCATTTTTTTTTTAAATTTTTGATTAAGTTGACATTTTTACCAATGTATGATTAAGTTGACGTTATTTTCCAATTTATGATTATGTTTACATTCTCTTACCATTTTGAATTAAGTTGACATTTTTTTTACAATTTATGATTAAATTGACATTTTTTCCAGTTTTTCATTAAGTTGAGAATTTTTTTAAATTTTTGTTTAAGCTGATTTTTTTTCAGTTTATGACATCATATCATATTTGTAAAGTTCACATTCTGATTGTGTATTTTCTGCCGTCTTTATTATTTAGAAATATTAATGTTGTTACTGTGCTAGAGGAAAAAGATTCTGAATGCTTCTTCCTAGAATTGTTAGGAAAGCTGCATTTCAGTTTTAAATATACATGTATCATATAAATGACATCTTGTGTAGAGCTGTGTCATAACACAAGGCCAGTAGAGGACGCAGAAAATGAAAGACATGCATTTTAGTGCGAATTGTTTCTTTGTATAATATTAGCTCTGAGGAATTTGAGGATTTCTTTACACTGAGTGTTATACAGTATTTTGGTATTATCTACTAATATTCGTTTTGACTTAACAGTTGTATTTTGGTTATTTGCAAGGAATGTGCTAGGTGGCAAGTTAAACTACAAGAAAGTGTAGTGGTTGTGGAACCAGAGAATCTTATGTATCTTTATTAGTAGTGTTAATGATGCAATCTTCCAAAACGTACGAGAATTCATAAACAGCATTGCTTTCCTGAGTGGACTTTAGGTCAGAAATATGAGAAATAATTAAACTAGATGTTTTAAACTTTTTATAGGAAATGATAAATATAACATGTTTGTTGGAATCAGTATGTAATATGTAATGACGAATTATATTTTTATTGGATTTTTCGTCTTGTTTATACTTAAGGTGATTCTAGTGCGATAGAATAAGTTATCGATTTTTCTATTATTCTTTATATAGGGATGGTGGCTTGTATTATTTTTTTCAAAGAATTATTTAAGCTAACTTTATTTGCTCATTGTCAACGTAGTTTGGGAAATTATTGTTGATAAGTGTTTTATGTTGCTCATCGCTATAGAATAATCTATTGGAAGGATAAATTTTTCATTTTTTATTACAGCTTTGAGAATATTCACTTTTGTAACTGAAAGGACAAGTTTTTGCTTCTCATTTTATAGAGTGAGGTAGTTGAATTATAATGATTAACATCTACTAGACTGTCAAGAAAAGAGATGTTAAGTTCATAAGTAATGTGTAGAATGGACTTTTTCTTGAATGTCTATTTATGTGGCGTCGTAGCACTCGGCGCATCAGTCTATTTATCTATCTAGCCAACTATGCAAGTAAAACTAAATAAACTGCATTGAGGAAAATACGTAAAGTTTTCAATAAGTGACGTTTGATTACGTGATTTCGTTTCACATGCAACTGAAATCTAATACATATACAGATATTCTAAAAAAATGGCATTTCAACGCATTTATCTATACAACTCGGCTTATGGTCACATCACGCTAAAACTCCAGTTTCCATACGATCACCGAAGTTAAGCAACGTCGAATCTGGTCAGCACCTTGATGTATGACTGCTTGGGAATACCAGGTGATGTTAGCTGGTACATGCAGGTTGTATAATGGTTAAAGACTCTGAATTGTTAATTGGATATCCGAGATCCAATTTGAGTTCGTTATATTCACTTATGCGCAGATATTCTTGGGAATGATATGAATCCACCTCTTCTTCCCCCAGCTATGGATTAATTAGTAAAACTTGTATGACTAAATTATTAATATCCTCCAAAAAATATTCTTACAATCTAAAAATATTCTCTCGCATTAAATAAACCTGAAAAGAGTTGATAAGCTGTAAAAAAGAAATCGATTCAATCTATACAATTCGTGTGTGGGTTGTGAGTTATTCTTTTTTACGTTAAAGGTGAAAATGGAGGAAACTGAGATGAATTTATGTTATTGGATGCTCTTTTATTTCCATCGATGGTTCTCTAGCTGAGAATTACCCTAGGTTCATTTTTTTAATCGATTTAAAGAGCATGGAACCGTAACTTAAATTCGTAGAGCCACAATGAAGAGCTCATCTGAACAATTACCATGAAAGTATTTATAGAAAAGACATAAGAAGTCAAACTTATGGTGCTGGGTAAGTAACTGCAGCTGACCTACCAGGTCAGGACCAATAATATTGTAGATTCTTTATTGGATCTTATCAAAAAGCTCAAGGTAAATAGCAGCAGCATCGGACTATATGTGGCAGTAATATCCTAAACATGGACGAATATAGCTTATAGATATATGTAAGATAGATTCTACAGAGAAAATTTGTCTCGCATGACACAGTCAACCAACAGCTAATCTAGCAATGGATTCAATATAGTCTTCCCACTTTATGTCAGCTGAGAATGTTAGCCCTAGAAGGCGGAACAAGTCACTATCCTGGAGGTTAGCATCAGCTATGCTGATGGAGGGCAGGAAGAAATGTCTCAAATGATTAATGGGGAGAAGTTTACAATGAGGGGATTTTGGTTTGGAATACCGAAACATTTCCGGAAGGTCTGCAATCGTTGATGATGACGAAATGGACGATTAAAATGCTGATTAAAAAAAATAATCTGGGTCAAACAATACGTGCCATCGCAGAGATACTCCACATAGCTTGATCTAATGAAAAAAAAATTATTGGGCTGTATTTCCGTTTGCATTCTCTGATAAAATACTATAAAAACAATATATTTTAAAAGAAAGATTACAGAAAATGAAAACTGGATTTTTTAGAACAAAAAAAGGGTCTGCAAGAAAATTAAAATTCGGTCTGCCTCTGAAGAATGTGATGTGGAATTGAAAGGGTATTTTGTATTATGAGATCTTTCAGCAAGGTCAGGCGTTGAATTCAGATATTTACTGATCCCAGTTAACATAATGACGGAATCGAGGTAAAAAAAGGTCTTAAATTAGTCTGTTGGATGCTTGTCGTCTTCTAGACGGACAACGGCATACTTCTCGTATCTTTGCATGCCAAGAAGAAAATGGTACGGTCTTGATTGAGTGCTCTATTTAAACAGCTTCCCACTCTTTACTTTGCACCTTCAAATTACTACTTATTTCGACCATTACAAAATTATCTTAATGAGAAAAACTGGAATTCTATGAAGTTTGTAAAAACCATTTAGACCAGTTCATCAAAGTATCTAGTTCTGAATGGATGTAATCATGAAACAAATGAAAAATGGCGAAACGTAAAAGAACAATATGTCTAATACAGTGGAGTAATGGATATCGGCTCGGGCTGAGGAATCTGAGAGCCGAGTTCGAATTCCAGTCGAATCCATTACATTCATTTACGTGCCAAAACCCTTAAGAAAGATATGGATCCTCTTCTTTCCCCTCCACGATATGGGTAAATAGTAGGACAGACCGGGTTCTACAGCCTTGGATGGCAACTGATCTACCGCAGAAAGAAATGGCAACCTACTGCGGGAAAAATCGAGAGATACCTGATCGCCTAATGTATCCGCAAAGCACTGACAAATATGCAAATACTAGTGTAACCAATAGTTATTAGAAAGTTTAATAGTCAGATGCAACTAAATAAAATATTCTAACAATGCATTTAGATTCAATAAGGCGGAGATAAAAAAAAGTCTAAACGAAAAAGAAGTTAATGAACTGTTTAATTAATCTGTTTTCTTTTATATTTATTAGACGTTCGGTGATATCTATGATTCATTGATGGCATGTATTATATAAATCGCATTTTGCTCAATATTTTTCATGTTAAACTTTTTTTGCTTTTTAATATAAGAGTGAAATGGTAATATCCCTCGGAAGAAAAAGATTAGTAAAACACAAAAACAAGAGATAAAACCTACTTCAAAACACAGTTGAATCAATAGCATCGGTTAATAGACAAAGGTATCTGAGTGCCTCATATGAAAGGCTTGAACAAATAAGACTGCAATCTAAGAAACGTAGTAGTAAAGGAACTAATTAAATAAACATTTCATTTTACTCAGGAACTAATTTTGTCTAGGTGCAGATAAATATTTTATTTGCATAGATTATTAAAACGACTAAAGGAAGTAATTACTGCTAAATTT